CTTTCTACTTCTTACATGTTGAACTCAAATACCTGTACTTTCTACTTCTTACATGTTGAACTCAAATACCTGTACTTTCTACTTCTTACATGTTGAACTCAAATACCTGTACTTTCTACTTCTTACATGTTGAACTCAAATACCTGTACTTTCTACTTCTTACATGTTGAACTCAAATACCTGTACTTTCTACTTCTCACATGTTGAACTCAAATACCTGTACTTTCTACTTCTTACATGTTGAACCCAAATACCTGTACTTCTACTTCTTACATGTTTGAACTCAAATATCCTGTACTTCTACTTCTACATGTTGAACACAAATACCCTGTACTTTCTACTTCTTACATGTTGACACAAATACCTGTACTTTCTACTTCTCACATGTTTGAACTCAAATTACCTGTACTTTGCTACTCTCTTCATGTTGAACTCAAATACTGTACTTTCTACTTCTCACATGTTGAACTCCAATACCTGTACTTTCTACTTCTTACATGTCTGAACTCAAATACGACTTTCTACTTCTCACATGTTGAACTCAAATACCTGTACTTTCTACTTCTCACATGTGAACTCAAATACCTGTACTTCTACTTCTCACATGTTGAACTCAAATACCTGTACTTTCTACTTCTCACATGTTGAACTCAAATACCTGTACTTTCTTTACTTCTTACATGTTGAACTCAAAATACCTGTACTTTCTACTTCTTACATGTTGAACTCAAATACCTGTACTTTCTACTTCTTACATGTTGAACTCAAATACCTGTACTTTCTACTTCTACATGTTGAACTCAAATACCTGTACTTTCTACTTCTTACATGTTGAACTCAAATACCTGTACTTTCTACTTCTTACATGTTGAACTCAAATACCTGTACTTTCTACTTTACATGTTGAACTCAAATACCTGTACTTTCTACTTCTTACATGTTGAACTCAAATACCTGTACTTTCTACTTCTTACATGTTGAACTCAAATACCTGTACTTTCTACTTCTCTCATTTTCCAAACAGCTGGTTCCTTTAGTCTGAATGTGTGTTTGGTGCGTGATCATTATTCTTTAGAGTCATTGCGTGCCTATTGATTTGAACACGATCCGTGTATCCATCATTTCCTGGTCTTCTCTAAAGAAGAGGGACCAATGGAAACGTTGTCATGTTGCCGTTGTTCAGCATGGAAACATTCATTAGCTAACAATGACATTATTGTTCTATTAATATAAAGGGAGGTCAGGTACTCTTTAAAGCAGCTGCTAGTTATGGGTACTTTTTACTGAAGGACACTTCAAAGCCTCTTTACTTTTACTTGAGTAAAGAAGTTTAGTCAGTACTTCTACTTTCACCAGAGTGTTTTTTAAACATGAGTATCTGTACTTCTACGTGAGTACAGGATGTGTGTACTTCTACTTGAGTAAAGGATGTGAGTACTTCTACTTGAGTGAAGGATGTGTGTACTTCTACTCGAGTAAAGGACGTGTACTTCTACTTGAGTACAGTATGTGTGTACTTCTACTTGAGTAAAGGATGTGTACTTCTACTTGAGTACAGTATGTGTGTACTTCTACTCGAGTAAAGGATGTGTACTTCTACTTGAGTACAGTATGTGTGTACTTCTACTTCAGGGTTTCCCACACATAGACTATACCTGGGCGGGCCGCCCAGGTATAGTAACGGCCGCCCAAGTATATTTCGCGACCCATTTAGTTTTTTTTAGTTTTTTTTATACATTTTTTTTTTTTATTCGTCCGTGACCACGACGCCATCTGCGATCGATTAACTTGTAGACAATGATCCCTCGCTCCCTTGCTCTGATCTCGCCTCCTTCTGGCCTGTTAAGTGGCCTGCCTCACACAGGGTGACTGGCTGTCCACATGATGTGGCCTGCCGACATGGCCACTGTCATACAGATCATAAATCAAAGCCCTTGATTGGTCTCTGTGTGTCATTCAAGCTCGGGATAACCTCAGCTCAGGTGAGGTAAAGGACTCTGAGTGTTTAGATAGTTAACTTAGTTCTCAGTGGGTCTCAAACGGTGTGGCCACCATTTATGTAAACACATATTTCCATTAGAGAGGGTAGTGATTGGTCTAATTGATAGTGAGGTGGGCTGAAGATCGGAAGGCTGTGAGTTCAAATCCCGCCAGGAACACCACCACTAGTGTGCCCTTGAGTAAGGCACTTAGCCCTTAGTTACTCCAGGGAGAATGTCCCTGTAATCGGTCATTACAAGTCGCTTTGGATAAAAGCGTCAGCTAAATGAAATGTAATGTGATTAGTCAAATATGCATGAATAAATAAATAAAAAGTTAACTAGGTGAGAAAAGGTAAGATACACTTTTAAAACTTGTTGAGAGAAAACTAGTCTTTGCTGCTGCCTCAAAGAGGAGGGGGGGAGAGGAGGGAGAGGGGGGAGACAGGAGAGGCTGATTCAGGAGCACAGACACACTCACAACTATAAATGAACCAAAAATAAATTAACAAGTTTCAGTGTTTTTTTCATATTGGAAATGGTATGTTGTTGGTTATGGCCTTGATTTTATGATTATTGAAATGTATACAGTTCTGTTTAATATAGGTGTTTCCATAGATCTAGTCCAGGGGTGGCCAACCCGCGGCTCTCGAGCCGCATGCGGCTCTTTGCCTAGTTTCATGCGGCTCTTCAGTTCATATCGAATTGTATATGTGTGAGTTTGGGGGAGAGACACTGACTCCTGACTAGTGTTGCACGGTGTACCGATACTTGAAAGGTACCGCGATACCCTGCCCTTAAAAATGTTACGATTCCTCCGTTTCATTAGTATCGGTACTTTAAGAATGACGGGGGAAAGTACTCCGGTGAGAAAGCGCTTTTTTAATAAGAGCCGTGTGTGTTCAGCGCTCTGCTTCCACTCCCTGCACTGCAGCCGTGCCTGCAGTCCCGCCCCTCTCAAGCACGCTCTAAGTCCCTCCCCTCTCAAGCACGCTCTAAGTCCCTCCCCTCTCTCGTGCACGCGCTAGCTGCCAGAGCATGTGAGAAAACGAGAAGCATGGCTGCAAGTGGGAGTGCAACTGCCGCTGCGCCTCGGCTTGTTGACAAAAAAGACGCCAGAAGCGAAATTTTGAAGTATTTGAGCTATATCTCTGACAGTGAGGGCAAGCCTACGGACACCACGAGGCCTGTCTGTAAGAAATGTATTAATTGTATTTAATAGGAAATCTTGTCATTTATTTAATTTATTGTTCTCATTGTTTAAAAGTTTGTGTTATGGTTATGGTTCTGGTGTGAAATAAAGCACAATAATTACATTTAAGACTGTTTTTTAAGAAAAGTATCGAAAAATAATCGGAATCGCAATTCTTGACTTGGTATCGAAACCAAAATGTTGGTATCGTGACAACACTAGCTACTCCTGACAGTTAAACCTGATATTTAGTAGGTCTGTTAAGTATTAACGTAATTTGGCTGGTCAAAGTTGTTTGGGCTCGGATAAAATCGCTCCGTTACTTTCGTCCCGGCTCCCGGTGTGTATGTGTGGTGTCAGGTGTCAGTATGAGAGGATGACAGCAAGTCTAATTTTGATGTGGCCCAAGAGCCAATCACAATAATACCTGCGATGCAGTGAACCAATCACCTTTGAAGGGGGGAAACCTATCGTTGATTAAACACTATCCAGTGTTTCCCCTACCATTGTTTTGGAGGGGCGCTGCGCCCCGCCAACGGAGCCCCGCGCCCCCCCCTGAAATTCAAGGTGTTTAAAAAATATATATAATTTTTTTTTTTTAAATATATATAGCACCAAATTGCAAATAATCTATAACTACTGTCACTTTTCACATTGAACATGTGCTCTTTTATTAAATAAACTAAACGCTTTCATTTTAAGTTGTGAATTTAGTGTTTTTGACCCTAAGAAACACTGATGCATTAATCAATAACAATAATACACAGCTCCTCTCTCTGCTCCAGAGGATTTAAAAAATATATATCCCAATGCCACAAAAATGCATCAGTGACGTGGTTGAAATCTTGTCTCCAGAAAACAAAAAAACGGAAACAAGCGGTATCAGTGCCTGTGTGTTTGATGTGGCTCTTTGCAGTAACATAGAAGAAATGTGGCTCTTAACCTCTGACTGGTTGGCCACCCCTGATCTAGTCTCTTTATTTTCCCCTCAAAATGCACCAGATTGATGCATTTAACTCCAAAATAAAAAATAAAATCTTACCGGGGGGGGCATGCCCCTGGACCCCCCTAGAGGATTTGAGGTCGACCCCCACTAAAAATCACATGGATAGGTTCCTAAATACATTAATAAATACATTTATTTTTTAAAATAGTAACCCATTTCCATATGTTCATGTGTGGGTAGTAGATTTAAACTATAGGGCTATCATTATGGACCCTGCCTGTACCTGTTCGCTCTGCCATCGCGTGAAGGGTCTGCTAACAAGCGACCAACAGAAAGGTTAATGTTGTTGCACGTCACCTCAACCCCCCCCCGCTACCACCACCCCCCAAAGTATATTTCAGATCTGTGGGAAACACTGGCAGTTAATGGACCAGCACCAGAGGCGTTCCCATACACACAGGCGTTGGAGCTGTTCTTCATGAAATCCCAGAAGGATGAAGTGCTCTGACAAACAGTGCCATCTTTGCGCAAAATGATTATACCGGAATGAAAAGTCAATAAATAATGTTGTTAAAACTTTTTTTTTTTTTTCGCGCACCCCCCCCCAGGAAGTGTACTTCTACTTGAGGAAAGGAAGTGTACTTCTACTCGAGTAAAGGAAGTGTACTTCTACTTGAGGAAAGGAAGTGTACTTCTACTCGAGTAAAGGAAGTGTACTTCTACTGAGTACAGTATGTGTGTACTTCTACTCGAGTAAAGGATGTGTACTTCTACTTGAGTAAAGGAAGTGTACTTCTACTTGAGTACAGTATGTGTGTACTTCTACTCGAGTAAAGGATGTGTACTCTTGCCACTAACAGCTGACTCTCTGTTTCTGTCTCAGGACAGGAGAACCAACTGGTGGCTCTGATCCCTTACAGCGACCAGAGGCTGAGGCCCCGCAGGACGTGAGTATTTACACTTAGTTTGATTACACAGGGATTTAAGGGTTAAGAGAAATCATAATGACTTAAAACGTATATATTCTCCCTTTCTTAATCAAATAAATGTCTTGTTATCTTTAAAAGTCTCAGTTTTATTTGATCTTTTCTTGTTCAAACATCTTGTGTCTTTTTATAATTGTATTTCCTGTGATTATTATAATACTGTGTGGGTCATAAATGTGAGCAGGATATATCCAAACATTAACCAGGTAGTTTAAAACCAAGACCTGTGTGTGTGTGTGTGTGTGTGTGTGTGTGTGTACAGGGTGTGGCAGGGTGTACGGTAGGGCTGTGCAATTAATCGTATTTTAATCGCGATTACGATTATGGTTTGCGACGATTATGAAAACAGCATAATTGACAAAATACGATTATTTTGCTGGGTGCGCTTTAGCCCCTCCCTAAAAGCCCACTCGGCCACGTGGGAGTGACGTGTTGTGAGTGTTCAGCGCGAGCGAAGAAGTCAGAACAAGAGCAGCAACTCGTTAAAAAGAAGAGATATTACAGGTGCCATTACATTTCACATCGCTAAAGATATGTGCCCAGTTAGCACTGTTAGCAACCAGGGCTTTAAGCAACTTGTCAACACGTTGGACAAGCGTTACGCGATGCCGTCTCGGTATTATTTCAGCAGGTCTGCGCTGCCTGCGCTATATGACAAATGCCGTGGGGAAGTTGAGAGAGATGTGGCTTCAGCTGACTACTTTGCCACCACAACGGACCTATGGTCTAGCCCAGGGGTGCCCCAACCAGTCGATCGCAAGATTGTCTAAAAATAGAACAACAATATTCTGTTTTATCGTTAATGTCCTGTAACATAATCTTCCTGTGCCAGAATAATGCACTTGAACGCATCAAAGCTTTTGTGATTGGCCGGCGTCACCCCCTGTGTCGGGGCGTGGCTGAGGGTCTTCAGTACAGGTGGCAATATCGTCCCCTACCTGCGCTCATCTCTGAAACCAGACCATGTAAACAGGCTGGTGTTTCTAGCGAACAATCTTTAAGAGATGACACGAGCAGCCCTACCAGCATTTGCCATGGTGGCCTAAACATTTTTATTTGGTCTTAAATTGTAGTTCAACATTTATTTCCTGTTACTTTTGGACCATGACGGTTGGCCAGCCTTCAACGTTTAAAGGAATGCTCCACTCATTAGATAATTAATCAAAACGTCAGTATTTAGTGAAACATTATGTTTAAACCATACCCTGAAGAAATCAGCGATATTCCCGGTAAATAATGATTTTATAGCTCTTTTTTTATCAAAACCTGTATATTCCGTCAGGCCGCTGCCATTTTGCCCATTTTCAGTAGTCACGTGATGGTCGTGACGTCATCCATGCGTTCACTTTGTAAACACACGAAAACATGGAGTATTTGAGTTCGGACTCGTCAGCCGAGGAAGAAGTTTTGAGCAATATGAAGAGATTGGATGGGGGAATTCAGCCATACAGGTTCGAGCCTACTTAGTAGATACAATGATTTTGATTACTAGATATGTATGCATGTAGTACCACCCTTACTAGCGATTCCCTCTCTAGTTTAGCATACTCAGCCTCGTTGTCCCTGGCCCTAGAACAGTGGTTCTCAAAGTGGGGGGCGCGCCCCCCCAGGGGGGCGCAGAGGCATGACAGGGGGGGCGCGAGAGACCAGGAGGAAAAATGGTTATTAAAAATAAAAAAAAGATTATAAAAAAAATAATATCATATTTTGAAAAATTATTGATTCGAAAATAATGATACAGTACTATTACGTCTGGGTCTCTGTGTGTCATTAGTGTGTGTGTGTGTGTGTGTGTGGTGTGTGTGTGTGTGTGTGTGTGTGTGTGTGGTGTGTGTGTGTGTGTGTGGTGTGTGTGTGTGTGGTGTGTGTGGTGTGTGTGTTGTGTGTGTGTGTGTGTGTGTGTGTGTGTGTGTGTGTGTGTGTGTGTGTGTGTGTGTGTGTGTGTGTGTGTGTGTGTGTGTGTGTGTGTGTGTGTGTGTGTGTGTGTGTGTGTGTGTGTGTGTGTGTGTGTGTGTGTGTGTGTGTGTGTGTGTGTGTGTGTGTGGCCATTTTGTGTGCGTGCGAGAGAGAGAGATAGCGTACCGGAGATCGTTGATGTTAGCTTCTGGTGCTAGCGAGCTATGCTAACGGATATAAGGAGTTTTTTAACAAACAAAGTGGAGGAGAGTCCTCTCCTGTCAGACTGAGAGGCTCAGTGAGCTAAAGGACTCTCAGTGTTAATCTCAGATGGGTCTCAAACGTTTGGTCACCATTAATGTAAGACAATTATTTCCGAGGCACACGTTTATATGATCATTATAGTTATAAGAAAATAAGAGAATACATGAAAAACAGCTATGAAATACTATATGACAGTAAAACAAGAATAAAGTTTTAAAAGAGTTGATTTATAAAATGTCCATAAAGAAATAGTAAATCTGTTTACAATTCTGTTTCATCTGGGTGTTGAGAGATGTATCCATAGATCTCTTCATTTTGCTCTCAAAGTGCACCAGATTGATGCTTTCAACTTCAATATTTAAAATCTTCCCGGGGGAGCATGCCCCCGGACCCCCCTATGTGAGGTCCACACACCACCTATAAAAATAGCACTTACCCCTGCTTACACCTATATGCCGAGACTTGATATCGAGCCTTCATTGTAACAGTCGCGGGTACATAGTGTATGTGCGTGGGGAGTGTTGCAGTAGAAAATTCCACTGTAGCGCCCGGTACATTAATGGGAAACCCTAAATGTTTGAGCATGCTCTATGAAAGGTCAAGCTACCCCACAGCACCCCCAAAATAAATCTCTGGCGCCGCCACTGAGCCTGACTATTTGTGTTGGGGGGGCCCCGACTTTTTTTTTTCTCCAAAGGGGGGGCCCTGACCGAAAAAGTTTGAGAACCACTGCCCTAGAACCACGATTTTATGGGGCCGGAAAAACTGGGGGAAAATACCCACTAGCCGGTACTACGCTATATGGAAAGGCCACCGTCCTGGCCTGGCCTGGACGATAAAGGACGTTTAAACGGGGCTACCCGCTGCAATGGAAATGCGCTATAACATACCTTATTCTTACTCCGAGCACTACTTCTGGTCCTCCGTCGCTTCACACTTGCAGAGGGCGATTTCTCACTGGCCCGAACTGGTGTCCTGGTCGGTGATGAAACCAGAAAGACCGATGGTACTGCATCTCCATTAAGTAATGGTTGTTCAATAAATCCCATGTTATGTTTTATCATACTCTCAGAGTAGTCGTCCGAAACTTGAATGTTCGCTGCATACATGGCGCCTGTGGATCTTTCCGGTTCGGGCCGGCCACATTTCGCTAGCCACTGCCTCCGAACGTACTTCCTACGCTTACCTTTTGGCAACAGATGGAACCGAGCATTCCGTGGATTGTTCCTATCAGAATTGTGGCAATGTTTCGCGATACAATGAGGCATATTTGAAGAGAGTAACTACAGTAAATAACATGAACATCAACGTGTCCTCGAAACCAAACGCATGGTTTACGTCCGGTAAAATGGCGCCGCCCACAGTGTTGATGTTATTTCGGTAATTAATCAGTTTAAAATCACTGATAATGTCATCGGATTAAAAGAAAGAAGACTGGCAGAGACGGGTCTGTTTTATCGGATGATAATTATTTAAAAATGAGTGTCATGAGCATACCATTCCTTTAACTGAGTGGAATATGTTGATTATGTTTTACCAACATGTTGGCTATATGTTAAGGAGTGTTCAGTAGTTTGTGACAGTGCACTGCAACATGTTTGAAATTTGCATTTATTTTGGTCTAATTATTTGTATTTATCATATTAATAATATATGTTTAGTATGGTTTTGGAAGAGCGCTCCAACATATTTGTTGATCTTGTTTTATTGTAAAATATTATTTGTTTTAAAGTTCAATAATGGTCAATGAATAATCGTCAAAATAATCGTGATATCAATTATTGACCAAATAATCGTGATTAGGATTTTTGCCATAATCGCACAGCCCTACTGTGTGGGTCCTAATGTGAGCAGGATATATCCAATATTAACCAGGTAGTTTAAAAAACCAATTACCTTGTCGTGTGTGTATGGTGTGTGTGGTGTGTGGTGTGTGTGTGTGTGTGTGTGTGTGTGTGTGTGTGTGGTGTGTGTGTGTTGTGTGTGTGTGTGTGTGTGTGGTGTGTGTTGTTGTGTGTGTGTGTGTTGTGTGTGTGTGGTGTGTGGTGTGTGTGTGTGTGTGTGTGTGTGTGTGTGTGCTGTGTGTGTGTGTGTGTGTGTGTGTGTGTGTGTGGTGTGTGTGTGTGCGTGTGTTGTGTGTGCTTGTGTGTTGTGTGTGGTTGTGTGTGTGTGTGTGTGTGTGTGTGTTTGTGTGCTCTGCAGAAAGTTTACGTCTCAGCGTCCGTGGCTGTCTGCCTGCTCCTCTCCAGCCTCGCCGTCTTCTTCCTCTTCCCTCGATCCATCGATGTTTCCTACGTCGGCGTGAAGTCGGTGTTCGTCAGCTACGACCAGGACAAGCGCAGCGTCTACCTCAACATCACGGTCAGCATTATATCATTTATGATGAGTGATATTAAAGCTCCCCAAAATAACGTTGACCCAAATAAATGTGACCAAAAAACAATTTGATAAAAAGAATGATTTGACCCAAAAAATAAAAAGTTAACAAAAAAAGAAATTTCACCAAAACATTTTTTGACTAAAATAAGGGATAAAAATACAAAATAAAAAGTAGTGTAAAAAGTCAATAGAATATAGATTTTAAATAATGTAAATTAAGAGAAGATTAAATACGGTTGATGCGATAATACCAACTGCTCATAGCCACAGTTCTAACAGAGTTGAGCTCCTCTACAGAAGTCCCGTTCGCTATCACACGGTTTAAATAGCCCTGTAAACACAGAGGGAGTCGGTGCTGTAAGTGCAATAAAGATGATTACACTAAAGGTGGGGTAGGTTTGAGAAACCGGCTCGAGATACACTTGTTGTTATATTCCATGGAATGCTCTAACATCCCGATAGCAATGAATATCTGAAGTCATCTGTGGAAGCCGGAGTGCTGTAGAAAGCTCGACCAATCATCTGAGCCGGCTAAAGTAACTGGATGGCCTACCTGCCTGTCAGCCTCCCATCTGGGCACAAACTGATCTCTGCCCTCATTGGTCCTGTGCGCGCTCGTGTGTGTTGGGGGAGGGGCTCTGTGAGGAAGGGGCAGATTTGTTCCGGCTGTGTATTTTCAGATTCTAGCCACTCGAGCTGGTTTCTCCAGAATCACCTGCCCCGCCTTTAAAGGGGATTCTTCACATGAAACTGAGCGTTTTGACTGAATACAAAACGTTGACTCAGCTTTCCCTCTCAGATGCTGTCGGCTGCAACTTGTTGATGAATCAAACCCAAATAAATCAATAAATGAATAATATTTTAAACACAGACGATATAAAAGCATTAACGACGTGCTTCAGAGAGTCCTGTGTTTTAACTATGAATGATGAAGCCTCCTGAT